AATAACAACTAGGTCAGTAAAATAATTTTAGTGTTTGCAGGAAGTTTTGCGAGTGTTATTTGAAAACTTAAAGTAGAGCACAAGTAGCTTAGTTATCATGGAGTATAAATAAAGGCGGTCAGATGAGTATCTAAAATGTTTGGCATGCCAAAATCAAGTGTTTGACCTATTATTTATACAGTATATGAAGCAATTTATCACTCGAGGCGGGGTTGGCAGGCTTGCTTATTAGTGTCGTTGGGTTTGTTTTTCAGGTTGCTAATGAGTGCAATTTTGGGGTCATGTATTTGTGCATTTTAGGGCTAATTTTGCTGAGGCTGTTGGCTTAAGTTGGTCTTGTGTGAGACCAGGTTGCTTGTTAATAGCTGGCTATCAATAACTGCATACAGCATTTCTCTTTTAACAATCCTTCATATTCTTCTTTTTAACATGAGTTTAATGTATCTCAACAGGCACAAACCTCATTCCATTCAAGAAAAAAAAAACATCCTGTGATCACTTACACCCATTTTTGCAGTGCCAGTCAAATCTCTAATTCATGTGGCCTTCTTCTGTAATTGCACCTTTTCCCACACTGCTTGCCTAACAGGGCTGTAATTACTGTTACGGATCCTGCTAAATTTCACTTTATAGTTATATACACTGGCCACAAGTTCAACTACGCAACTTCATTAATGAGCCAGGCTTACACTTTCCCCTGAAGATGACACTCCATTTGTGGTTTTTGGTGATTTTAAAAACCGCTAGCAAACCACAAGTGACTTACTCTCCTCCTGGCCTCAATGGACCTTTAACAACTGCACACAAAGCAGACAACCAATCTGATCCTCATCCTCACACTGTATCAGGATCTTTTAACAGACCTATATCTCATCCTGCATCTACCTCACTTTGATCTGATCTCACCCATGTTTTTTTTTTTTTTTAAAGGCTCTCAAGTTGTGGTCACATTTTCTGTTGGTCAGCAAATTGTCGTGGGTGATATCCAGTCATTTAAATAGAAATCCACACGATCGAGAACTTTGCATGGGTGTGGAAGATTTACCCATGCAATATGATTGATGCCTGCTGGTCAAACTGTATAAAACTGTCTGAAAGTAATGTAAACCATACACTAAACCTATTTGCTGAAACAACTTTAGCCTGCTTCTACAAATCTGCATCACAAGTACTGTGCTGTACCGGGTGTGCTACCGAGCATGTTTACTGTAACAGAAAAGCCATGCATATGGCTGATTATGTAATGCAAACATCACAATTTTTTGAAAATTGTTAGTTTGCTAATCATGCACTATGGTAAAAATATTTTGAGGCCATAACATAGTAATGTAGAAGGAATTGCGTGAAAAAGCCTTTAATTGATCTGCCCCTGCAATCCTAATTCGTTAAAAGGAACAAAAGCGGGTGGTGTTTTACTACCACTAGTGTTCATTTCAGCTGGAAACTGCAATGTTTTTGCAGTAATAAATGCAGAGTCATGTATTTCCAATGAGCGTAGGTGGCAAAATTCACAATGATAGGTAATTTTTATGTAGTTGTCATTACAGTTTAGGAAAGAACAATCTTGATCGTGGAAATTTCTAGGTTATACATTAATCTGATGGAATGCAGAACATATTATCTCACTGTTCCTCACATGACAAAAGTGAGAACTGTCAAGAAAAGATAATGCCAAGACGACCGTGATGACAATCAATGGCCGTGTTTCGTCAAGTATAGGTGCTTTTTAAAAATTAGGTATGCATTACATGTGGAAGTACTAATGCACATGATCTGATACATTTTGTCATTTTAACTTTTATGTTATTTTGAAAATGACCACTGTTCCATGCAATGACCTTATTTAGGATCAAATTAGTGTCCTTGATACATAAGAGCAGCATATCTGAGATCTCGTGCAGGAGATTTTAATCTTAAAATGGGTACTGTTATCTTATAAAGCTCTTTTAATAGGTCGTCCTGGTGCTGCTGTTGATGCCACACAATCAGCATCACATGATAGACTGTG